TGCTTGGTTTCCGTAACGGAAAGGAATCGCGAGTAAAACAAGATCGTACGCATATTAAAATGTATAACTCGATCGAACCGTGTCTTTCCTACTATATATCGCTCATATATAAATATAAAGCGACACATGCCAAAGTTTTCGAAGGTCGCGAGCATTTATTGCTCACTCTACTTCTTTCATTTTTTCTATTGTTCGTCGTGTCTGGTATTGAGTCGTCCCGTCCCGTCCCGTCTCGTCCCGTCCCATCCCGTTGATATAACAATCTGTGAATCATTTTCCTTTCGTCTCGTGATCAGAGTTCGATGTACGCGTTCGATACGTTACTCTCGTTAACGCGAAATCGACACTCTACTTTTATCCACGCTCTTTATTCGCGTCAGATCGCATCGTTTCACGCTCTTTGTGAAACTAAATGAAATTGTTGAAATCAAACGAGGATGAATAGCGGCAGATCGGACATTTCAAACTCGTTTCGAGTGGACGATTCGAATTTTGCCGAGTCTACCGATCTAGCGAATCGTAAGCGAATCCTCGGAAGATTGCGTCGTAGTCGTACAAGGAAGATTCTCGTGAAACTTAAGTGCCTAATTATTGTTACCATAATCGTTGCACGCGGTGTTACTTATAGAAAGATATGTATGTCGCAAGTACTATGAGGAAAAGAGAAAATAACATACAAGGAAATAAATTATCGCGTCCGTTTCCAACGAAAATCAAAGCCTTGAACCTTACGACTAACGAAAGTGATAAATCGATTATTCGGTGAAACTGTGTGTTGCAGAGAATTAGCAGGGGATAAGCTCTTATTGTTTATTCGACGAGACGACATGACAGTTTACGCGATATCCAAGTTCCTCGTGTTTTTCCTTGTTCGCGAGAACGTTGCTGCAGGGAACGTTGCTCGTTTTCGCCGGCAAAAGGGATATTTCTGGTATCGTCCCTGGTGAAAACCGGACATGGCTATCGAGAAAGAATACGAACTGGGTCAACGACCGAACCGCCGAAGAATCGCGACTGCTCAGCGGTGGCCAGCTCTGTACGTTCCTCTGAAAAATCGGATTCGTTTAAACGAATCGGTGAATAATCATACGGCTTAATCTTATGATTCGTTTTACGCTGCTATCACGCGTAACACGCGTAACATGCAATCCTGATTGCTATTTCTTA